GCTCGCTCTCGGTCTGCCTGTCGGCTCGCTCTCGGTCTGCCTGTCGGTCTGTCGGCTCTCTCTCCGTTTGGTGAGGTGCGCAAATTGCTGCCCTGATCCAATTGAACCAAACAAATTATTTAATGAATTTAAGACATTTTAAGGCCTTGATTTTAGATTTGGATTTCAAGACTTTGTTTCAAGACTTATTCAAGATGTGCGGACACCCTGCAATAGGCTCACACCCCCCCACCCCCCCCACCCCAAACACTGTAGGCCCCTGGGCTTCAGCCCAGGTAAGCCCATGCATTAAAGCGGCCCAGACTGTGTTGTTAGCCACTGTAGCAATGCTCTGTTCCCCTTTGACATCACTTCCTGTTACTGACATCACTTCCTGTTCCTGTGCATGCAAATATCTCAACCACTGTTCATCTCAGCTGCTTGAAATTTGTTTTTGCACCACATTATTAACATTCATTTAGGATTTAGGTAGTATTTTTTCTGAATAAACATTTATTTGGTGCCGTCTTCAAACTAAGACCTGTCGGATAAAAACATCCTCAAGCATCCTCTGAAAGTTTTTTACATAACTTTATCTTCCTGAAAATGCAGAGTGTATCTAAAACACAAACACTCAGTACCTTCTCATCAGTTATGGCCAGTTCCTGCACCTTGTAGTCCAAAACACCAATAAAATGTTTGTCAACAAAAACCTAAGAAAACAGAAGTAAAGAACCATTTCAAAGACCAGAAACACCCACATCAATAATCAGACTGAGCATTCATGTGTTTTATTCCTGCTGGAGAATAATAAGAATTACTTTAGACTAAAAAGGAACGCATATAAACTCATTTTAATAGTCAAGATAAAAGATGTTCAATGAGGTCGTGACCTCAGAAACCTTCAATCTTTACAGGAACACTGATCAAAGCTGAGGGCTCTGATGTTTTTAACACAAACATCGTTGTGAGTCTCTACTACAGTATATACAATACTTAAGTCTCAGTTGTTGTCTCATTTGTGTCTGCTGTCTCAGTTTTTGTGTCTCAGTTGCTTCTCAGTCCTTATCTCAGTCGTTGTGTGTCTCACCAGTGCTCGGTCTCTGACGTTGTTCCTTGCATTGAGGGTTCCTCCTCTGCTGATGGCGGTCTCGTACAGTGTATAGCCGTAAGACTGACCATTGTTGTTGTTGACGAGGAGGTTCTCCATGTTCACTGGCCACTCAGACTTCTGAGGCTGCAACGAGTCGACAGCATGACACCGGACAGTTCAAACCCTTTCACAAGTTAATATCTTACTTGCGGTAGTTTACACTTTATTCAACCTGAATTTGGAGAAATAAAGGTTCTTTCTGAGTGGACTAAGGAGCTAACAGACCACAGTTAGCATGGCCGCCATCTTTAAACAACTCCAATCTTAAAAATTTGGTAGAGATTCATGCAAAAACTATTTTACAAACTTATTACTCCAGCAGAAACAGTATGTGCTACAGCTAGGCGCTGGTGCCACATTTTGTGCTTGTAAATAAGCATGAAATTTTGAATAAATAACTGTAATATAAAACAGTTACTGAAGACTTTGAAATGGTGTTACTAGACCAGAGTCATTTTAGGACACAGTACACTTTGACCTCATCCCCGCTCATACTGTTAGCTCATCAGTAGTCAGAATTAAACTCTATTTCTCCAAATTGAGCTATCTATAACAGGTAAGATATTCATTGTTCATATTCTTTCCACAGAACCCACTTAAAAAGTGATGAACCATTACTTTAGGTCTGAAAGAAATCATGCAGTATACAGTGTCTCAGTGATGACAAAAATTAATTTTAACCCATGTTTTAATATAGCTACCTACGATTTTTTTCCATTTTATGTAAAATAAACACAATCGTAGTGCCCAATGAATCTTGTAATTTTTCAACAAGCTGCCTGACTCAATTGAAACCTTTTAAGCTAATGTAAGAAATGTTTCAGTTGGAGTCCAGAGCAGGTCTTTTATTAGGCCACACAGTTTTGATGTTTGGAGATGCATCTTTTTCCACATGGTAATATAAGCAATACAAAACATTGTACTACATCACTCCAAACACAAAAATAAAAAATCCAATCATCCACTCAGCATCTGAGGAGAGCCCACTTGTTTGAAACCAGGCTGTGCTGGTCAGGAGCTTTAGTGATTGGTGTCTCAGAGGGAAGCAAATTATTGCAATGCGGACCGAATCATTAATGGAGTCAGAATCTCCAGTCGCGCTCCACCTGGATGGAATATAAATGCCTCAGAGAAACATGGTGTAAAATACTTCAACTCGACTGGTGGACACAAAGTGAGGAGACGCTGTGACACCGTTCACACAGTGCTTTCTTTTTTCCTTTTCCTTCTTTGGCAAGAGAGCATTTGCTGTTGCATTCAGACTATGCCAACAAGAACGAGCTGCTTTACAGTCGTAAAGCTGCACAGAGCTGATCACTGCTTGAACGCTGCTCCTGTAGTTAGAGGAAAATGTCCTGCTCACCACTTAGCAAGCAGCGGTAGCCACTCAGTTTCCTCTGCTCCTGGAAATAACTAAATTAAGCAGATTTAGGTCCATCAGAGCAGGTAATGTTTATATTTGCTTATTAGTACGCCACAAGGGATTTTAAAGATCACTTAATCCGGGGATTCCCAAACTGTGAGGCACGTCTGCTCCTTACTTTGGTCTGTACATGGAACAGTGTTTTAGCTGTTGTTACGAGTCCAACTCGTTTTGGTGTTACACAAAGCACGTTACCATGGGGATCAGATGGATGGACCGCGTGCTGTGCGGTGTGCAGAGCGGGTCCACTCCTTCCTGTGCAGCCGGCGCATGACTCAGATACAGATAGAGAGGGAGGAGTTTATCTCTTCACTGGAGGGAAGTTTGCCGGCAGGTGGATGTGTCCCTTTAAATCAGGGACTAACGGTCAGACTGATGATGTTGGGGTGAGTAAACGTGAGCTGGACTTGTAAAAATATAAGCCAGCTGATGACACATTGTTAGAAATGGTGTTTAAATTTGGTTGACTCACAATGTACTCACATGTCAGTCAGTGAGGGATGGACAGAAAAAAAGCTGCTTCAAAAGAAAGAAGAGATAATGGTTCAAAATGACAACAGAAATGCACAAACTAATACATTTAATTTGCAGTTGACTAAAAGAGCCAGGCCTTCAGTTGGATGTGATTTTGTGACGTTCTATTAAATGCCAACGTTGAAGATATTAAGAAGTCACGGTTACATTACATCACTATTTTCTGTTTTGTAATGTAACTACTCGTTGACAGGAAGTGCTTCTCATTGTACCCATCAGGTCCAACACTGACTCATGGTGTCATTTTTAAACAGTCACTAACACCAACCCAACACTAAACAGAACCAACAGGACAACCCATCTGAACACAGAACCTGAAGAAGTCCACCTACTTCTGTCCCAAGATTACCCAGAAGGCCCTGTGGCTCACCCAGCCTCTTGCATTCAAGTACAACATGTAATTTTAATAAGTCAAACTAATATTTACCAGTAACCCACAGAACTTTCTGTTTCGGTAAAATGTCATAATGTAATGAAACCAAAACGCAACTTTAGATTTCAAAATTATCAGTGCAAACCTAAATGAGATATCCTGATGCTGCTCAATAATCCAAGTAGAAAAATCTTAAAAAGGTCAGGTCCTCTGGACTGATTCTTCTTGTTGAAACGTTTTGTCTTTTATCCAAAAATCTTTATCCAAAAATCTTCTTCGGTCCGAGAAGCTGCAACAAACCCAGTTTTATAATTTATTTATTTATTAACCTTTATTTAACCAGGCAAATCCCATTAAGATCACAGCTCTCTTTTGCAAGGGAGGCCTGGACCTGAAGGCAGCCCAACATGCATGTTTTTGATCTGTGAGGAAACCCATGCAAGCACGAGAAGAACACGTAAACTCCACACAGAAAGACCCTAGGTCCAACCGGGGATTGAACCCAGGACCTTCTTGCTATGAGGCAACAGTGCTAACCACTGAGCCATCGTGCTGTCAAACCAGATCAACCAGTTTGTTGTTGACATCCTGAACTAGCTGTTCACATGATAAAGGAGGACCACCAGCCTAACATCCAATTATAAATAGGATATATAACCTTTGATTTTTTTGAGCAACTACAAACTCTATGGATTTTTGAATTTGCAGGTAAATGAATGCATCACACATCTTCACACAGTAACCAAACAATCAAACAAACAAACAAAAAACACCTGCAGGGCCTTCCTGAAGTCCTACATCTCATGTTTTGGGCCCACCCCCTCTACATCATCGTTGTAAATGGTTAATTTTCCTGTCAGTTATTAAACAAACTCCTGCAGAGATTCTGACTGAGCTCAGCCTTCTCTGCTGACAGTGAAGTCCTGACCAATGAGGAAGAACCTTCAAACATGTTTCTGCCTGGAGACAAACATTTAAAACAATCTGATTGGATAACAGGATTATCACGTCTTGCTCATCTGCAAAGTAGTTACAGAAAATAAGAGAAATGAGCAACCAAAAAAAAAAAAAACTACATTGAAAATATATATTTTATATTAAAAAATAATAATGATTTAAAAATGTATATGCAACATTTCATATGTGCTGAATTCTTGAGCCTTCTCTGAAGGCGTTGAAGGCCCTGAGGGTTCCCTCTGTTAATTTGTATATATTTTGCTGCTGGAATTATAGTGAAGAATAAAATATTAAAAATGACTTGTTTGCGAGACTGAAAACTGTCAGCAGACAGTATGGTTTAATTTAAACTAATTTATGTACATTTTTATTGTCGTCTTATAGAACAAATTACATTTCTTATATTTAGTTATTGATATGTGCATTGCTGTTGTATTTAAGCAGCTCTTCTGACTTTGCTAATCTACTTGTATAAGACATTTTTATAGTTGATTAGCTCTAGATACTCCTCTCTGAGTGGACGGAGCTCACCTTCTCTGTAAACTGCAGACTGTTCCACAGAGACAGGTGCTGCTGGACCATCACCGGCTGGTAGGCCCTCCTGTTCTGAGAGGAGGGCAGCTCCGGCAGAGGCTGGCCTGAAAACAACCAGAAACATTCGCACACTTTGCCTCGTCCAGGTAACAATGGAGTTATTACAGCAATGTTTCAACTATGTAACATTATTTCCTAATATGTAACATTATGTATGTAACATTGTACTATGCAACATTACTTCTTAACAAACAGACCACAGTCAGTGAGGATCCACAACTTCTCCTCCACCATAACCCTCAGCACTGGCTCTCCTCAGGGATGTGTGTTGAGCACCCTCCTGTTTACTCTGCTCACATATGATTGTGCAGCTACCCATCCAGGCTGTCACATTGTAAAGTTTGCAGATGATACAGTGGTTGTGGGAAGCATCACAAACAATGATGAGTCCAGCTACAGGCAAGAGGTGGAACACCTGGAGAGCTGGTGCAAAGAGAATAACCTTCACATCAATGTGAAGAAGACAAAGGAGATGATTGTGGACTTCATAAGGAACAAAAACACCTACACCCCCCTGAACATAAGAGGATATGCGGTGGAAGTGGTCTCCAGCTACAAGTACTTGGGTGTACACATGAATGACAACCTCAGCTGGAGCAACAACACCACCAGCCTGATCAAGAAAGCTCATCAGAGACTCTACTTCCTCAGACGGCTGAGGCGAGCTGGACTGGGAAGCTCAGTCCTCACCTCCTTCTACAGGTGTGCAGTGGAGAGCATCCTGTGCTCCAGCATCAACGTGTGGCATGGAGGCTGCACAGCTGCATAAAGTAAAGCTTTGCAGAGAGTGACGGCTGCACAGACGACTGTTGGAGTCAGTCTCCCCACCATCACAGACATCTACACCTCCAGATGCAGGAAGAGGGCCACCTGCATCATGAAGGACCCCACTCACCCAGCACACACACTTTTTGCCCCGCTCCCCTCAGGAAGGAGGTTGAGGAGCATTAAGTGTAGAACCACTAGACTGAACTTCTACCCTGAGGCTGTTAGACTCATGAATCTCTAACCAGAATAATCACTGTGAAAAAAATCACATCATGTTGCTGCTGATCTGTTTCAATGTTGATGTGTTCATGCGTGCTCATCTGCTTACACGGACTCGTGTTCAGGTTTGTGCTGCTGTTCGACATTAATGTTTTTATGTTATGAGTGCTTAGTGTATATTTAGTTGATGTTGTTCTTAGTTCATATCTTAGATGTTATTACTGTTTTTCTTTTACATTTTATTGTTGGATGTAACTGGGACCCTGTGTACATAATTTCGCTCCACCACATGTACCACATGGGGTGCGAATGACAATAAAGAATCTCTGACTGATTATTTTATAACTAAAAATCTGTTGCAGTAAAAGACTAAAGCTGTTTGTAAAAAGTCAAATTATAAAAGAATACATAAATAACATCCTGGGAGCTATGGGTAAATTAAAATGTTTTTAATTTTTTTTTTTTTTTTTTTTTTAAATAAAAGAAAATCAGTGAAGTCATTTTAATTTGGAAACCTCCCACTGAACTATTAAACATTTTATTCATTTCCTGCTTCAACTCTCCAACATCTGCATCACTCAGTCCAAACCGTTCAAAAACAACCTTTTAACGTCTCCGTGGGCGAGAGCTTTGCCAGCTTGTGTTCTGGTTTGCAAACGGTCTCGTTACAACCAGAACCAGCAGTTGTCCGAGTCGTCGGCTGCTTTTAAAGGTGTTAAAGGTGTTACAGAAACACCAGCAGTCCCTCTAGGAAAGTCTTCACAGCCTTTCCTCAACATCGGACGGTAAAAGCTGGCTTCTGAGGATAACGGTTAACACTTTTTCTAAACAACTTTTTCTGGGTCCAACACGCCGACACTTTCAAGTCAGAACCTTCAGTAGGGCCGTGCATCAAATATTTTTAACGACTGCTTACAATTTCAACTATAATTACTGATAGATGACAACATCCAAATCTTCTATTATAATATTATTTTTAGATATTATAAAAATGATTTTCTCAGCAAACTAACAAACTGCAGTTTGTGTAATTTTGGGGTCGATGCAAAAGCTCTGAAGCCTCATAATTACCATATTTTCTGCCGTAATGTCCCATTAGGCCTGTCACGATAAACAATAAATTAATTAATTGCATGATAAATGAAAATTATTGACCTCATTTTCATTTATCGGTTTCACCGTTTCTTCGTGTCTCTCTCTTTCTACTGAAGACACTGGATGGCAAAAGGCTCAACTCTGGTGTTCTTCACTGACCCCTCCTTTTCTCTTTTCTCTTTAAAATCCATTTTAACGATCCAAAATCACATTTTTGGATCGTTAAAAGCAGCTAAGCTGAGAAGCTAAGCTAACAGGCCGACTTCGGGGAAAAAAACTCTGTCTTGTCAAAGCTCTAAAATTCACTGTTGAAACCCGTGCCTTCATGTAAAAAGTTGTTTTTCTCTGAAAAAAAAAAAGCAGAGAACTTGTTTACTGATTTTTATTAAAAGCTTTGTGTGAAAAATGCTATGCTAAAGAGCGCAAACCACACCGAGCATCTGCCATTTTGAGAACCGAGAACAAGGAAGAAGAAACAGCCTATGTCAAGTCAAAAGGTCTCCCTCCCATTTTCTTAAAGAGACACGCTCTTCACTCCCTCACTATCCATCCTTCGGTTCAAACAGTCTTACACTGCCATCCGGTGGTCAAAAAAGGTACTACAATCAAAACAAATTGACCAACATTTCTTCTTAAATTTTACAAAAATTACTAATTATTGTAAAATTTCAAACAATATTATGGTTTATCACAATAATTTCTGAGACAATTAATCGTATACCGTATAAGTTGCATCAGTCCAGATATGCCTAATAAAGTGGAAAAAAACAAACATGTCACTTCGCCGTATAAGTTGCATCTATTACGTGTTACCACTGACCACCCGGAAATGTGGGTTGGTGTTCCAAAAATCGATTGGTTGCCACATGGCGGCCGCAGGAGCGTGCACAGAAGGACTTTAAACAAGAATTTAACAAGATTAACACTTAAAAACAATTATTTGTTTGCTCGAAATTATAGCAAAGGTGTGTCTTAGTTTAACTTTTCCTTAATAAATGTACTTTACCAGTCAAATCAGATGCATTTCAAAAGCCGATTCGCAGCTGCGGGAGCACACAGAGGGAGGACTCACTGTGCATTTCTTTGAAATTTACCAAGATAACCACCTAAAAACAATTATTTGTTTGCTCATCATTATAGCAAAGATGTGTCTCAGTTTAACTTTTCTTTAATAAATGCACTTTAATGATCAAATCGGCTGCATTTCGCCTGGGCAGCGTGGCGAAATGCAGCTGATTTGACGTTTGCGCCAGGAGTTCCAGAGCGAGACGAAAGTTGCCTGTATGGCAAGCCAAGTGTCTCATTAATAGCCACTTTTACCTATAAATGAGACACTTGACTTGCCATAATACTTGAGTGCCCTCTAGCGACTGAAAATGGTAGTGTTCAATATTTTCCATGTCAGAATGAATGAAATTGTCAGATCTCAGCGAAAAATGTGTTATAAATATGTGGGGAGGGGGAGCTAAATAAGTCGCTGTATAAGTTGCAGGGCATGCTAATTTAAGCAAAAAGGTGCAACTTATACAGCAAAAAGTACAGTAGTAACTGTTAAAAGCATTTGTTCTAAATCTTGTTACACAAGAAAAATATCTGATCGCTAAAAAAAAAGTGTCTGAAGCCTTTTTTAAGATGCCCATAATAAATGTTAGCGCTCCAACAGAGCTGCCTGAAGCCACGTCAGGTTGTACTGAAACAAACCGACTAACTGATGCGATTTACATTGTTTGGCAGGCGGACCACAGAAGCACATCAACTGGATCTAATTAAAGAACTGGGTCGTGTTTGAGGCTGCTGAACGAAACAAAGGATGTTTCCTCTCATCTTCAGGACACTGCTCGTCGTTCAGCAGACTCCAGAACAGAAAGATGACTCGGCATCAAGCAGCCTTTCAAACTCTCTTCAATCACCTCACAAAGAGGCAAATTATTCCTCTGTCCTGTTGGAGTCATACCCACACGGTCCAAAGCTGCTTCTGCTCACAAAACACTTGAGACTTCTGCCACCCCAAACAACAAAACTCATACTGTGTGTGCTTCACAAAGAGACATAAATGTGAGGTTCTGATTGTTGAGGCAGAAAGCCCCCATACACACACACACACACACACACACACACATAAATTTGCTGGTAATAACACATAAAGTTGTCCTGTCTGATCCAACAGAACCAGTCAGCAGAATCGGGTAAAGTGGCGAGATGAGAGGACGTGCAGAGCACCTGAGCAACAGCGTTCAACACTTACTGTGGTAGCGGCTGAATACATTCCTCAGAAGATGATACTTGGTGGTGTAATCCCCGGCCTCGGATAATGGAGCATCGTAATCTGAAAGATAATGCGCTATCAGAACAGCAGGCCCGGGAGCAGGGGGGAGGCGGGGCACCTCTCACCATGGCAGATGCTTTTTGTGCTCCCGCTATCACACATCTGGAGGCAGCAACGGGCCGCTACACACTCTGGGTTATCTCGACACAAAATGAGGCCTTTTGGAAGCAAAAGGCTTTCAAAGAGTAAACACAGGCAGGAAAGGACTCCTGAAGGTCAGAGGTGGTTTTTAAAGCTCCCGTTTAAAAACAAAAAGGTTAAGAACAGACTAAAACAGATTAAACCACCTCTTATTTACATTTTGATGTGTTTAATATCAGCTGCTGCCATGAAAAGTGGGCAAGCATGTAAATGTGTGATTCTGTACATGTGTCAAGCTGTCTGTTAGCGAAACAGATCACAAAACACCGGATGGATTTTAATGAAACTCTCACTGCATGTACGTCTAGAGTTCGTTATCGGTCAGAGTCAGTTAACCTGATTCAAGATGGCTGCCATGGCTAATAAACCATAGAAAACATAAAAATTAATATAAATCGGTCAGTTTTATGGATGCCGAGCTAAAATATGATGCGGTAGTAGCTGAGAGTCAGTCACAACACATACTCTGTGGGCTAACGGATCACATTACATCAGGGATTTTCAACTGGTGGTCCGAGGCCTGAATCAGGCCCACAGGTGAGCTCAGTTCGGCCCACCAGTGGGCCGCTCAACCGAAATGAGGCTCAAAGACTAACAGAATTTAAACTTTCAGAATATGTTGGTGATAAGCATAAACAAACATTGTCCAGGCTTTAAACTATGTTTCTATAGTTATAAATATAGTTAAAACAGCATTGAATGGTCAATTTGTGTATTTCAGAGGAAAGGTGAGTGGAAACAGTAGAAAAGCACATTTCTCAAATTATAGACCAAAGGCGGACACTTAGAAACACTCATCAGGTGTGGTGAAGTCATAAAAGTAATTACATTAAATCAGGTAAACACATCACAGCCATTAGTTTTTGCTGTAGAGTTCAGTTTTCTATGAAAGTGAAAAAACGGCATTTACGGTTCTAACAGTTCAAGAATTGCGCCGCTCAAGGTGGCTGCATGTTGGAGCAGCTCTGTTACTTTCATTCTGAGATTTTGCTTTTGGAAACTTTAATTCCTCTTTTTCTGGATGTAAATCACATTTGTTGGATGATTTGTTTCCTCTGGTATCAGATGCTGTGCAGCCGGAAGGATTTTTACTGAAACTTTTTTAGTTATGGACATTTGTTATGATGCGTAACCATGGCAACAAGGCAGTTTTCTACAACCAACAGCAGCTGATTAACATCTCAAAAGCTCAAATAATATCTCAACTACAGCCCAAAATCTCAAATGAGTTGAAAAGGATGTTCTGTGGACGCATTCTCATCTACCTGCCAGCTGTGCTCGAGTGCCTGACCACTGAGATCCTGGAACTAGCAGGAAACACGGCTCATGACAGCGGAAGGACAGGATCGTCCCTGGGCACCTACAGCTGGCTGTCCGCAGCAACGAGGAGCTCGGCAGACTGCTGGGAGGAGTGGCCATTGCTCTGGGAGGAGTTCTGCCCGGCATTCGGGCGGTCCTACAGCCCGGGGGGAACCGAGAGGCCAGCCGAGTCTGCGTGGACGGATTAGACGGCATCTGCAGCCAGTTTTTTAGGATCCACTGTGGGATGGACCTTTACAAGACATCCTTCCTGCCTACAGCCATCAGTATCTATAACATCTCTTAATGAAACGAGGATAACGAGTTACAACAAATAATTTCCTTTTGGGATTAATAAAGTATTTTTGAATTGATTTGAATTGAATTGAATTTGAAAATAGAAAAATTGTTAACTGAGGAAGCCACGTTGCAGTGTAGCCTTATGAGAAATGAACCCGAAACGACCTGGGAGGAGTCTGCCGTGGTTCACAGTGACAAGGAAGCGCAGCTCTAAACATTTCATCAGAAAAGAGTTTTACTCAGTTGACAAATTTGCACATCAGGTTTGAACACAATCAATAAAAAGCAACACTGTCTGTTCTGTCTGAACCTACCGTAGCTTGTAACCATGGGTTTAGGTACTGGCAGTCCAAAAGCTAGAGCCCCATTCATGAAGCCAAAGTTGGTTCCTCCATGAAACATGTAAAGATTTATGGACATGTCCAGCCTCAGGATCTCTGTCACCACTTGGCTCATATCTGACAATAAAAATGAAAATACACTCATTAAACTCAGCAGTCTTGTGTTGTGGTTCTGACAGCTGGACGTGCTGCAGTCTGAACCGTCAAACGCGCCTCCTCCGTCTGGCTTTATTTTACTGCTGTGAATGCTTTCTGCAGAACAATGGTGTATTGTTTTATATCCACTGAATTAAAGAAAAAAGCTTTGTCCTTACAATGTTTTTAATTATGATGTGGATGTTCAGGTATAAACAAAGGCTCCTTCCTCAAGTGATGAGCTGTAGTTGTGTCTCATTAAACAATGAACAAATCGAGAAAACATTTTAAATGTAAACTATTTCCACTTTATTTCTTAGCTGACAGTATCTGTGGTTTTGGTTATTTTTAAATAGCCTTTGTGTTTAATGTGAGGTTTATTTCTTTTTGATCATGATGTTTATTTTCTGTGTTTAGTTCAGGAAGAGGCAAGTAGGGATGGATGGATGGATGGAGTTCTCTGTACCAGAATCACTCAGTTTCAGCTCCTGCCCCGCCCTGTTACACCTGTTCCCAGTCACCATCAGTGTCACATTCTTCAGTGTCCTCCTCAGCTCCACTCCAGTAATCCTCATCTTTTTGACGCTCAGCAGACTGTCGTTGTGTCTCCTGTCAGGTGCCTTTGCAACTTTCTGTTTCATATCTAAAAAAGTTAAATCTGGTCAACTGGACATTCAAAAAAAAAAAAAAAAAGCAAAACAACAAAAAATGTAGAAACGTTTCGTCTCTCATCCGAGAGACGGAGGCCAAAGGAGGCCATCTTTGTGAAAATAAATCGTCCATCATTAAACAGGGGTGGAGGCCTCCGGGTTCAACTGTCCCCCTCTCACAATGCTGTGATTGCTAGTATCACTCAGCCCTCTGTGAACAGTAAACAGCCGTCAGTGTGCTAATGATCCATTGTTATGCTGATGGTCCTTCTTGAGCATGTGATCAGCTGGTTTTGGTTGTCAGCAGCAAAACTGGTTGATCCACTCTGAGACGGTGCTATTTAAGAGACTGAGCTGAATACAGCTCCTCAGACTGAAGAAGTCTCTCGGACGAGAGACGAAACGTTTCTACATTTTTTGTTGTTTTGCTTTGTTTTTTTGGTTTTTTTGAATGTCCAGAGGACCAGATTTAACTTTTTTAGATTTTTCTACCTGGATTATTGAGCATGCATCAGGAGATTTTCTGTTTCATAATTTGTTCTTATTTACTGCCACTCCAGGTTTTGAAATATTAAACCTCTAAGTTTTATTTAAATTCTTCATGTTTCATCTGTAGTCTCCAGTCCTCCTCTAAGTGTGACATTAGCACACTGTTTAAAATAATGAAGAAAAAAAAAGATTAGTCTCATTTATTCAGTTACATGTAAAAACAAAATGCCAATTAGGTGCAAAACGTCTAATTTTTACCAGCATATTAAGTCTACGAGATGACAAAAATTATGCATCAGCCTCAACAAATTATTCAGCATCTTTAAATTTAATGACCTTATTGTAATATAACTGGGACATTAGAATAAATAAATAAACTAAATTATTCTGTTTATTTTTGTGCAATTACTAATTGTAATATAAATATAAATAAATATAAGTAAAAATTTAGACTGATGGTCTCCATGAGATTTATTACAGTGATTTACTAACACCAACACCAAGTAACACCATTAAAAAATAACAATATTAATAGAAATTAAAGTAAATAAAATTACAGCAGGTCGTCAACAATAAATGTTGAAGAAAATAGAGAATAGCACCATAATGCAGTTTTTATGTTCTGTTGGAATAACCTTTAAACAATTTACAGAATACACCAGAAAAAAAAATCCATTTTTTTTTCATTAACGTGAAACCCTAAAACTCAGTTTGAGACATTACAGCTCACCAAGATAAAGGTGAATGGTGTTACCCCCCCGGAAGGTTCTTACACAGCAAGATAACCAAGTTTTCTGGGAGGTTTTAGTGCTTTCATATAATGTGTCGAGCACAATAGATCACTTTTAAGACCAGTCTCAGGAGCAACAATAGGAAAAATATTGGTATTCTTTATGGTATCTTGGATTTCCTTACTTTGAGGGAAAGAAAATGTTGATGGGTCATCCCTCACCGAGGCACATAAACTGATTCTGAATTTCTGTGAAGCAGATCTCCAGTCACTTCCTGATCCATGCCTCTGGAGCTGAACAATATGAGGAAACTCTGGATGCTTAAACTTTGTTCACATATAAATAATGTAAATATATAGAATCAAGGAGCACTTTGCTAACTCACAGGAACTTTACCACAAGAATGTGCAGGGTTAGTTTTTAAAGCAGCTGGAATCAACTATCTCCATCTAGTGTTTGATGATTAAACGCATCATCTGTCCTACCTGAAAAAACTAAAAACTGTCATGACTGGTGCTCTTTTTGGACTGAAGAGTAATGAACCATAGTGCTGTGGTCTGTATTGTGTGTACATTTGCATTGTTTATTTGTTTATCTCATTGTGTGTTTTGCCCAGAAGCTGACAACAAAATGCAACCCAGAAAGGGTTTCATTTTCTGAAACCTGTAGGTTCTGATAGCAGTTTGTTGGAAAATAATATTTATATTTCGTACTGCAGGGTTGTGTTTTTAAAAAAACATACACAACCATGTCACTATATGGTACTATTGATGAAGATTGACTGACAATGTTTTCCTTCAAACTCAGTTCTTGCAGTAAATTGTTACGTTTTCAGTTGGAGGTGCCAGACTATTCCTAATTAATCCATCCGTTTATCTTCCGCTTATTCCTAAGTCGGGTCTCGGCTCATGTACAGCTTAAGCAGGGAGGTCTAGACATCTCTTTCCACAGCAACCTCTTCCAGCTCTTCTGGGAAGATTCCAAGGTGTTCCCAGGCCAACCAAGAGACATAGTCTCTCCAGCCTGTCCTGAGTCTTCCTTGGGGTCTCCTACCAGTCTGACATGCCCGAAGCACCTCTAGGTAGACATCCAGGGATCATCCTTACCAGATGCCTGAACCACCTCAACTGGCTCCTCTCGAAGTGGAGGAGCAACAGTTCTACTGAGTCTCTCTTGGATAACTGAACTTCTTACCCTATCTCTAAGGGAGAGTCCAGCTGCCCTGTGGAGGAAACTCATTTCAACCGCCTTGTATCCATGATCTCATTCTTACGGTCACTATTCCAAGCTTGTGATCAGAAGTGATGGTAGGAACATAGACTGACCAGTAAACAGAGAGCTTCGCCATACAGCTCAGCTCTCTCCTTACTACAATGGACTGGTACAAAGTAGGAATGCACCGATCCATTTTTTTTTATCTTCCGATCCGATCCCGATACCTATATCTGAATATCGGCCGATACCGATCCAGTTCCAATATCATCATCATAAATGATTTTATATGAGGCTGCAATAATCTCCTCTCAAGTACATTTTGTACAAATATGTGCATGCATGTCAAAAAAGGCAACTTGAGGTAAGTTTTATTAATGTTGGATAAGCTTCAAAGTTAGAATTAAATTCTGCTAACACAAAACATGTTTCTTTTTATTCCTAGCTTTAAAGTATATTAAAGTGATTAATTTAAGTGATTGTTTAAAGTTATTTTATATTTTTTTTAAATAAGGGGCAGATATAGGATTTTTTTTCTTCTTTCTGCACTCTTTTCGTTCAATGTTTTCTTTTTGATGATTTTTTTTATTTTTTATTTTGTTTCTTTTAAATGAATGAATAAATGAATTAAATTAAATGTTAAATGGCTTCAAACACCTGCTAAGTTCATGGCATAAACCAACAGACATGTTCCTGTTTTTAGTATTTTACATCCCTTTATAATGTAGCTGTTTTTGTTTTTAATATATATAATTTTCAGATCATATGATTTATGATTGTCTACTGTTGTACTTATAAATATCTCCTGGAGGGTAAACTATATCTTGGTTGCAAGTATCAAGCTGAGAAATCCTTCGTTTTCTACAACTGATAGTGGTTGGTCATTAATTATGATGAAGTTTAGCAACTTCTCGGTAAACATTTGAGCTCCAGGGCTTCAGTGATGTCTTCATCTTGTTCAATCCAAAGCAAGTAGCCTGATTTCGGTCAGCCGCGCTCAGTCTGTCCCTCCACGGAGACAGGCAGATTTAGCGGGGCAGATTGGATGCGGCTGGCCGGGGTCGAGTTGCCTCTTTCGGGTTGAGCAAAGAGTAGCGCCCCGCTGAAGCCACAGAGCTTGAATGTCCAACGTAAAACTAATTTTACCGCGGTTTAATGTGGCGCTATGGCTCTGCAGACATTGCACAATGTTGTCTTGTTTTGTGGTGTTTGTAGTATAAAATAATTCCACACAGCGGACATGTTTAGATGAAAAGTGGGTTAGCTGTTAGCCACAGTGCTGCTAACTCAGTCCACACATTGTAGCTGGCTGCAAACTATGAAATGGATTTCCTGAATATGAGGCGGGTCTTATTACTCTGGGTTCATGAGACACACCTCCGTTCAAGAAATCCATTCCGTAGTTTGAAGCCAACTTGCATCATGGATCGGAAAAATCCGATACATAAATTATGCTGGTATCGGAGGCCGATACCGATACTGGATCGTATTGGCCCCATCCCTAGTACAAAGTCCGCAAAACTGCAAAAGCTGCACCAATCCATCTGTCAATCTCATACTCCATTCTTCTCTCACTCGTGAACAAAACCTCAAGATTCTTTAACTCCCCCACATGAGGCAGAATCTCACCCTCGATCTGAAGAGAGCAATCCACCCTTTTCCAGATGAGGACCATGGCCTCAGATTTGGAGGTGCTGATTATCATCACAGCCGCTTCACACTTGGCTCCGAACCGATCCAGTGAGAGCTGAAGATCACGGCACCATGATGCCAACAGGACCACATCATCGCATAGAACAGAGATGGAATCCTGAGGCCACTGAACCGTAATCCCTCCACCCCGCTGGCTGCACCGAGAAATTCTGTCCATAAAAGTTATGAACAGAATCGTGACAACAGGCAGCCGTGACAGAGTCCAACTCCCAACCCTTAAGTGGTCCAACTTACTACCGGCAATGCGAACCAAACTCTCGTGCCACTTGTATAGGGACTGAACAGCCTGTAATAACATCCCCCTAATCCCATACTCATGGAGCAACCCCCACAGTGTACCCCGAGGAACATTGTCAAATGCCTTCTCCAAGTCCACAAAACACATGTAGTCTGAATGGGCAAACTCCCATGACACCTCAAGGACCCTAGTGAGGGTAAAGAGCTGGTCCAGTGTTCCATGGCCAGGACGGAACTCGTATCATTTCTCCTAGATCTGAGGTTCGACCAACGATACGGACTCGCTTCTCCAATACCCCTGAATAGACCTTACCAGGGAGGCTAAAGAGATTGATGCTCCTGTAATTGGAGCACACCCTCCAGTCCCCCTTTTTGAAGAGGGGAACCACCACTCCAGTCTGCCAATCTAATGACACTGCCCCTATGTCCACGTGATTTTTCAAAGGCGTGTCAACCAAGACAGCCCCACAACATCCAGAGCCTTAAGGAAATCAGGGTGAATCTCATCCACCCCTGGAGCCCTGACACCACATAGTTTTTTAACTATCTCAGCGACCTCAGTCATGATTATGGACAGACCAACCTGAAAGCCCCCGACTCCACTTCATCTATGAAGGACGTGCCAGTGAGATCGAGAAGGTCCGAAATGTATTCCTTCCACCTCCCAACGACATCACTGATTGATGTCAACAGCACTGAACACAGTGTTGGTAAAGAGCTGCTTTCCCCTCCTCAGCTGTCTGATGGTTTGCCAAAATCTCGTCGGAGCCGACCAAGAGTCTTTATGTCTTTATCCAAGACCTCAGTAAACTCTTCCCACAGCCGAGCTTTTGCCTCAGCAACAGCCAAGGCTGCGGAACTCTTGACCCTCCAGTACTCTTCAGCTGCCTCCCCAGTCCCACCAGCCAACAAGGACCTATAGGACTCCTGCTTCAGCTTGACAGCCTCCCTAACCCGGGGTGTCCACCACGGAGTTCGAGGATGACCACCGTGAAGAGCACCGACAACCTTTCGACCACAGCTCAAGGCAGCTACTTCAACAACTGAGTTGTGGAACATGGTCAGTGGCGGATTCACCGTCGGGCACGACGGGACACTTCCCGGTGGCCTGGTTGCCGAGGAACGGGACTAAAGGCTCGGTTCGGGTCGCACGGACTTTATTATTTTAAAAAAACAATTCACTTTTGCCTGGGCTCAGGTCTCACGCTGCACTGCAGCGACGGAGAAAGCCTGGCACATCCCCCGGCCGGGCCGGCCCCCTCCCTTCCTTTTCTGTGTGTCACAGAGCAGAGACACACACACACACACATTGCGCCCGCCCCCCTCCCCGCCCTAGGACTCGCGCTCCCGACGGTGTTGGCGCGCGGTGCGTGCATCTCTGAGTTGTAGAATGGAGCAACAGAGACAGCCAAAGAAGAGGAAAGGTGGAGCAGAGAGAGAGAGGATAAAAAAGAGAAAAGCTCTGGCTGCGGATGCTGCTAAGTGCTATAAATTAATGTTTGTTCGTAATGGAGCAGGTAAGAGAAACACTTGTGTTGAAAAAATTGAACTCTGGCACAGTTTAACAGCACAGCTTAATATCCACATGCTAGCTTCACTTTGAGGGACCTAAGTGGGCCAAAACTGACTTAATATAACAAATGTTTTTAAGTTTTTACAAAGAATATTGCAAATTTTATAATATGGGTTAGGATCTGAAAAAAGTTTAATGTTGAAATGTCTAGGAATTCAGATTTTTTTGTATCTAAAAAAGTTAAGTCAGGTCCTCTGGCCAAATAAAAAAAAAACTTGTTGAAACTTTTGTCTTTAATCCAAAAAACTAAGTTCAGTCTTATGCATAGCAAAATATAGGGCAACATAATTTCAGTTTATGTGATTTGAGGACGGATTATTGCACCACAGAAGAAAGATTTATGTAGGTATTCAGTTAGACGTGTGCAAACAACATGCATTCAAAGTGCGCTCAATTGAACTCAGTCTTGGTGGTTTGCGTTAATCAGGTGGTGGTGGCCTGGGATGTTATCAAAATTCCCGGCCTGGATTATTGTCCCAGTCCGCCCCTGAACATGGTCCACTCTGACTCAATGTCCCCAGCTTCAGCTGGGATGCGGTTAAAGCTCTCCTGGAGGTTCAATTCAGTTTTCAATTCAGTTTATTTATATAGCACCAAGTCACAACAGAAGTCATCTCAGGGTAGGTGTGAGTTGAAGATCTCGCTGACGGGTTCTTCTGCCAGGCATTCCCAGGAAACTCTCACTACACATTTGGGTCTACTGGGTCTGTCCAGCATCTTCCCCTGCCATCTGATCCAACTCACTACCAGGTGGTGATCAGTTGACAGCTCAGCTCCTCTCTTCACCTGAGTGTCCAAAACAAATGGCCGCAAATCAAATTACATTACTACAAAGTCAATCATCGATCTATGACCTAGGGCATCCTGGTACCAAGTGAACTTACGGACAATCTTATGTTCAAACATTGTGTTTGTTATGGACAAACTATGACTAGCACAGAAGTCCAACAATGACTCTCCACTCAAGTTCAGATCAGAGAGGCCGTTCCTCCCAGTCATGCCCCTCCAAGTCACACTGTCGTGACCCACGTGGGCATTCAAGTCCCTTAGCAGAATAAAGGAGTCCCAAGCTGGTGTACCTTCTACCACCCCCACCAAGGACTCCAAGAAGGCCAGATACTCTGAACTGCCGTTTGGCGCATAGGTACAAACAACCGTCAAAGCCCGTCCCCCCACCCGAAGGCGCAGTGAAGCTACCTTCTCATCTACCGGGGAAAATTCCAACACACAGGTACCAAGTTGGGGGGCTAAGAGTAGACCCACACCAGCTTGGCGCCTCTCACCATGGGCAAATCTAGAGTGGAATAAGGTCCAGCCTCTCTCAAGGAGATTGGTTCCAGAGCCCATGCTGTGCATCGAGGTGAGCCCAACTATTTACAGTCGGTACCTCTCAACCTCACGCACAAGCCCAGGCTGCACGCACACATACATATGGCAGTGGCCATCTTAGATTTTTGATGTGGCAACTTAGTTTTTGATAGTGACATTTCTTATGCCTAGATGTAGCCGCACACCAAAATGGAATCGGTAACTCGCTTGTTTGTTAGCATTTACATTCTCCTTCACTACAAGACGTAATAAATTAACCCTGACCTGAGTTTATTAGTCACTGAGTGAAGAATGTGTTTATACATGCTACCCTGCAGTCTGAGGAGAGTACCTGCTGATTGTGAATGAAGCTGAGGTTAGAGTCAAACACCTGATAAATAACTGATCTAAGTCAGCCCCACTGGCATTGAGCCATAGCCAAACTTTCCTTGACACTAAGATAGTTTTATTCACAGCTTGTCCTGTCTCTCCGCTCTAAGCACTGAGGCTCTGTCTCACCCTGAAGGCAAGCTGGTTTTACCTAAAGAGATTTTGTACTGACTTTCAGAGCAAAACCTGCCTCGCTCCATCCTAAATTAGCCTGAGTTATCGACCGTCTGCACAGAGAAAGAGTCTTGCCTTTTACCCTGTCTTTCTCTCATGGGAGTACCTGTGTTTGCAGCCCTGTCTGTCTCTCTGCAGACACCCAGGAAAATCAATTTTCTCCTTAACTGGTAATTGTTTCAGCAACAATAAAATATGTCTCCTACCTTCAGCATTGTATACGTGATGAAGTTCGCCCCAGAGGTCGAACCAGCCCGACCAATACTCCATCACCAGCTTGGGTTTCTGAGGCTGGGACAAATAAAAAGCATTGGTGCTGTGAAAGTGTTAAAAACAAAAAGTAATGTATCTGAATGAGCTGTGTTTGGTGTTGCTGATTGTACAGTAATAGCTTTAAACAAATTATCCTAAAACAGGCTTAACTCTTCATTTTAAGGATTGAAAGAGTCTAAAATGTCTGCTCTGGGAACAGATAAATGATGTCAGAAAACAGAACATACAAACACAATGTATGTATTTTACGGATCAAATTAAAAGAATTCTGTTATCCAACTAAATCCAAGTTATTTTATTGCCTAGCTTAAATTCTTTATGAAAATGTTCCTACTTGGTAGAGAAAATATTGTAAATACCTCAAAAATATAAATTATCTTAAGGTTGTGCTAGTTATAACTTACTTGAATTCCATCCAAATACTGGATGGCCTTGGAGTCCAGTTTCTGAAAGTTAATTGCAACCAAAACTAAAAACAACAACAACAAAACAGACAGTTTTTAGTTTACATCAGTCCAATAAAAATGGAGAAATTTCACAACAAAACTCTCTGATCATATTCTGTAAGTTTTAAAGACTTTTTTGACAACAGCTCCTGTGTAGGCTCAGGACTGGTGCTGAATGTAGATCAAAGATTGTTCACAGCTTTGTTCTTCCACAAACAAAACCAACCCATTAGATGCCTCTACATATGTCTCCTCATATGGGTTTGAGCTGCTGTTTAGTGTTTTCTAATTTTGTGTACAAGACTACTACCAAATACAGTTTCTTTGTTAATGGTTGGTTAAATTGTCTCATGTTCCTGCAAACCCCTGTCCTCCAGTTGAGTAATAACCATATAATAGTGTAATAACAGTATAAATGCAATGTAACTGCAGTGTAATAGTGTAAAAGCAACATAAGTGAAATACCTGTAATAGCAGCATAATAGTAGTGTAAATACAGTATATAAACTGTTACAGTGGCTTTATAACCTCAGTTACTGATGCATGCAAGTTAAAATCCTAAATGTATCAAGGAAAATACATCAAAAAGTCTTGTTTTCTGCATCAGAGCCGTGCTAAAAGAGCAACTTTCAGGGGCAACAAACTAGGTCTAAACTGCAGCTACATGGGCCGCTAGCTGGTCATACCTTTTGCCATTGTGCATAAAGACAACACACAAACTAAGTGTGTGTGTGTCAGTGCACACACACCATGCACTGAATGTACCTCCTGTCACCCCTCGAACCTGCAGCCCTTTTTTGTCATCCGAGGTCAAAAGAAGCTCTGTGATTCCCCTGGACAACAACGACTGGATAAAACAGGATTAAGAAGAAAATGAAACAAAATAGCAGAACTGAGATCATAATAAAGTTTTATTTATTTAAGTTGGACTTAATTTAATATTCTGATCTGTAAAACAACACTTCCTACCTCTTTGATGAAAGGCACATACATGTCATCTGTAGCATAGACGCCATATTCATTCTCTACTTGGACTGCTATGATGGGACCTCCATGGGAGTACTGCATATAAAAACAGGACACAGTAGATGAAGGCTGTGTTAATAACTTCACGGCATCTAACATTTAGTTACACTTTGAAATAAAAACACATATGCACACACTAGGGCTTTAACAGACTACTCGATTAATCTACACATCGATTCCTAGGACATCTATCGAGTTTTTTAATTTCATGTCGAGTATTTGTGATGACGTCATTACGTCGCCGTTATGTCATTGCATCAAGTGTCACGTGATCCGCACCAGGTGGGGGTTGCAAAATGGATTCCTCCAAGCAGAGAGATGGAGTGGAGCAGACCCAGTCTTGGCAAACAGGTAGAAATGCATCAGTAGTGTGGAAATATTTCACTGAAGATGAATCTTCCGGTTCGTAAGAAAACTGAAAATGAATCAACTTCCTGACTGTTTGGAGCTCGTTGCGAACCGGTGTTACACCATGTTCTGTAACCATCGTATATTGTGACCGTAGGGGGCGGTGTTGCATGCACTGTTGCAGGTCACAGAATATGGTGTAACACCGGGTCCAATCCACCGAACCAGAACCAGCTTCCTCTGCCCTTGTTTCACAAACAAAAAGCAAAAAATATGAATCTCTAAACCTATAAAAAAACCTATAAACATATTAATCTCTACAACTAAACCTAATGCGCACCACAGCTGGCGGTGGTGCAGGGTGGTCGACCCTCCCACTGTTTTTAGTTTTGTTTTTGACGTGCTGCACGTTTCTTTCACTTTTGCAGCTTAATAATAAAAACTAATAGTTTAGTTTTTCCTGTGACTTATTTGCTGTATGATAAATGGTAGGAGCATAATATATGCTCCTAATGTTTTGTTGGTCTTTTTTTGTAAATAATGACTTTTTTTGCGGGGTTTTTTTATTAATTTTTGTATCTTTAGATCCTATGATGTCATCACGTACTCGAGTTCTACTCGAGTTTTATTATATTAATGTCGAGTTTAAAAATTATGTAGTCGTTCAACCCCTAGCACACACTGAGCAGGAGGAGAAAAAAGATTGGACTTGAACAGTTTGACACAATACTAAAAATATTCACACATCCACTACAGGCCAGAAAACTGCTTAACAGATGATGCAGTAACAACAAGTAAAGAAAATGTCTGCACTTTTGTTTCACATAATAAGACCAGATTGTTTGTTCCTACATATAAAAATATAAACTTTTCATTAAACTTACTCTGCAAGATTTCATACTAAATCTGTAAAGTGATGTAGTCAGTCTTGATGCGTCTGCGGGTCTGTGTGTGGCTTTGTATTTAGAAGTTCACAGTGCTCCTTCACTGTTATTGTGAATGAGATTACAATGTTCCATGATCCTTGTCCCTATACACAACAGACCCCCTGACGTTTCTCTGTGTGCAGCTGGGATTTTGATAACAGCTCGATTGAGCGAAGAGGGGAGGATGAGTAGACTGGTGCCCGGGGGATTCTATCAACTAAAGTTTTACAACAGGAAGCTCAGAACGAGTCAGAACCACAGACAGGTGAAAGCATTGATAATATTGAAATTGTAAACGCATTGATCTTCTGTGATTGATGACTGTTCCCCAAACCTTTGAAAACAAATATAATGAAGATCTACACCTGATCATTTGGGGAATATCTTTTTTCCCACGACAGCCTCATTTACCAAAAAACACTTCTGTTTACTCAGCTCCTTCTTTAAATCCCATTTACTCACTTTGAATACCTCTGTTATCCTCTAGAAAGAACACTTCTAGGGGAGTGGTGGCGCAGAGGTTAGAGAGGTGGGCCTGTGATCCGAAGATTGCTGGTTCACTCACCGTTCCCGACAACATCAAAATTGTGGGTGGGGTAGGTGAAACACCCACACTTGCCTCCACCCTCATTCGCCCCACTCTGGGCCCATGAGCAAGGCCCTTAACCCCCACCCTGTGCTCCCTAAACAGGTCTCTCTTGAAAATGAGTTCTCGTGGCTCAATGAGACTACTTGTATAAATAAAGGCTAAATGAAAATGAAAAAAAAAACTTCAAATGTCCATTCAGACGGGAACATCCATTCAACCTTTATTTATACAGATTAGTCACATTGAGCCACGAGGACTCATTTATAAAGAGAGACCTGTTTTAAACAAAGAACAGAAATGAGGTACAGACCACTATAAACAATCCTATAAAAGCATATAAAATGAAAAGTAAATAGAAGAAATTATATAAAAATTAAACATAACCAGCTATATTATAAGGCGATGTAAAATACTAAAAACAAGAACATATCTGCACTGGTTTCTGCCAAGAACTTAGCAGCTGTTTAAAGCCACTTAGAGAGGTCAAGGTCGAGAGCTTCAGATCATTTTGCAAGATATTCCAGGAAACAGGAGCGGAGTAGAAGAAGGTTCTTTTGCCTAGTTCAGTCCTCACTGAGGGAACACTGCAGGTAATGATGTCCTGAGAGCGCACGCTGTAGCTGCACTCATGCAGAGACATGTAGGAGGAGATGTTTGATGGTAGCAGACCAAGAAGTGATTTAAAGATGAAAATGTACCAGTGAGAGAGTCTGCGTGAAGTTATTGATGACCAGTTAACCAGTGAATACAGGGTGCAGTGATGGAACAATGAGGAAAAGACCAACATGAGCATGAAGACAATCTCTTGTGTCAGTGAGTGAAACTGGACTCTGCTGCTCAGGATGAGAAGTTACAACCAAGGAAATATTCAACAAAACCAGAGCAGTGTTTCCCATAGGTTACTTGCCTTGGGAGGGAGCTCGTCTCGTGGTTTTCGAAGGGGGACGGGGTGTTGGTTGGTTAGCGTAGTGCTACATTAGTAAATGGTAAATGGACTGTACTTATACAGCGCCTTTCTATCTTCTCAGGACACTCAAAGCGCTTTACACCACAATCTGTGTCCTCATTTACCCATTCATACAGCACTCTACTAGATCTATACAAAGCTATTTGAACAAATCATTCTAAAGAGACTAATCAGTGATTTAGATCACATTCATACACTGATGGGACACACATCAGAGGCTATGAGGAGTTCAGTGTCTTGCCCAGAGACACTTCAGCATGTGACTGCTGGTGGATTCGAACCTCCAACTCTTGCATTGGAGGACAACTGCTCTAACCACTCAGCCACAGCCGCCCAAAGTGCTGGCATTTATCAACTGGGTGGGTGGGGTTGAGAATTAAAGTGCTACGTTTGCATTGTGTGTGTGTGTGGGGGGGGGGGATTAGCATAGCGCTATGTTAGTGTCAACGAGTCGTGGGGTAAGAGGAGCACAACATTTGTATTATGCGTTGTTGATGCGGTTTGGATTTTGAGCTGAGCTGCTACAATCTCTGCTCCCCGTCCAGAAGTGGCGGAGCTGCGTGGGGGATCTGGTAGGCAGGGCGCTCGGTTCTGGTGACAGGGCAGGGTGTCCTCCTTGAATAATGGTACAGGAAACATCCATCCATTATCTTTACCCGTTTCTTCCTTTTGTGAATCGTGGGGGGCAGGGGGAACACTACGTAATAAAGATTCAACACAAAATTAAATTACCTTGACTGGATCATAAATTATGGGCGGAACAAGAGAAAGCTTACAAACGAATGAACACAGACTGTACTATAATACGTCCGCCTTCGGTGGGCGTCTAAAAAAGGCTTCACCCTGATTACGTTCATCAAATTGTATTAATAGTTATGAAAGTATTAGCTGCTCACTGCCGAGTTAGAGGAAAACAGCAGAACACATCTGCTGCAGTCAGTCTTTAGACCTCATCTTTGTGTCTAAATGTGTCAGGCTTCAATGAAGTGCTGTCTTTTTAAAACAAGACCTGTGTGTGAGCAGCCATTATTCATTAAGTACTAGAAGTTAGTCTAATAACTGACATTAAATCAATCTTCTGCTGTGTTTTATTGTAATGTGGTTAATTTTGTATGCTCATATTGTACTCAAATCCTTGTTTCCTGATTAAGGACTGAATAATAATTAAAAAAGGTTAAATCGTGTCATTTGGACCAGTTTAAGTGAGAAACATTTCATCCCCCATCCAGAGGACTTCCTCAGTCTACGGCATGCCAACCAGATCTGTCCCATCACTGTTGTGTTTCAAGCCAAGGACTGAACTGTTTTGTGTCATATCAGATGTAGCTGATGAAAGAATTGGATAGTTGTCAAAGTATCATATCGTATCGTATCTTAACCTGGTGTTTCATAATGCATGGTGTGGTCCCAACCCCAGACTTTGTTATTACTGTGCTAAAACACAGAAATGTGTTTGTAGAAACAACAAGGGTACTGTCATACTGTCATCGTAACTGTTAATTTGCCTAATACTGTAAAGACATGGGAGCTTCAAAATATATTTTCTAAAGAACTATTTGTAAGCTGTTGATAATGCAGCATACCTGAAGTGGAGCAACTCTTTTCAGAAGCTCATCAAAGTAGGAGCTGACAGCATCGGTGAATCCTGGGTAGGTCGTTCGTAGCTTCATGTTCTGATCTTGTAGAAGCCAGCTTAAAATTAAAACAAGTCAGATAAATCATTTTAAGCTCTGAGCTGTAAACTCTTTTAATGTCCAAAGTAAAAAAAAGTCCCAGTCTAAACCTGACTAAGGTTTTAACCTTGACAATCACTCGTGTTCTTCTACGTGTCCCTTTAAACACCTCATTCTGGTAATTATCAAAGAAGCACAGTCCCAAGGACAAGACCCTTCCAGAAATACCTTCCCTCAGCCTTTTCCTGCTAACAATTACCCAATTAACTGTCTAAATGTATTTTAATTACAGAAATAAATGAATTCATCCTTTAAGGGATACGAGCTTGTCACATTTAATTATTGCTCGCTGCAAATATCTCGCTAAAAGTCATCAGTGACTTTCATCAGAGTAACAAAAGTGGTCAGCCTAAATGATGTCAGTTTCATTGCCCTCTATTCTTAATACGATGGTGGGCCACTGAAACAAATTACTCTCCATCAGGAACACGGCTGCTGAAATGTGCACTTAAAGAAATTCACTTGACTCTTTAGCCTGCAGCAAAGACTAACAAACAGATTACCTGACTAAACAATCCATTTCCAATCTCATTTTGGGGGGTTGCTGAGCCACAGGCTAAACTATTCATCACTTTGTTAAAAAAGGCAAATAAAAACAGCATTTACTTCTGGGTCTTGTGTTGTTGGTTTTATTTACCTGGGTAGTCCACCTAAATCCCACTCAGCACAGATGTACGGGCCGGGACGCAGAATCACCCACAGACCCAGGTTGGCTGCAACACGGAGGTAAGCTCTGAAGAAAACGTGAAACATGTCAATCCAGTGGGCTCTGCTCCTCACCTGTACGAGTTCATTTAAAACAAGAACTAAAGCTAATAAAGCGCGAGTAGAGAATTGTTGTTAAATTAATATAAAGCCAGAGATCGATCACAAACACTGTTATACTCTCTAAATTGTCACTTGAAATCATTTTGCTTTTCTTTACTATACATTTGTTTTATTATTACATTGTGACATGTCATGGTTGAACAAAATAACAATTAGGAAACCCATACATCCTTGAGTCTAAAAGAGTAACCACGGTTAACTACATCAATTACAAACATGTATTAAGAGCCAAAGTACTTTCAGAAAAGAATTAGGACCAACACAGAGCAATAAAATGTATTTTAGTACAGCAGTGCCCTCTGCAGGACTTGAGTCCTTACTCCAGATCCAGCTCATCCTGAAAGTCAAACACCCCTCTCTCAGGTTCATGCAGGTTCCATGGCACATACCTGAAGAGACAAACACAACAGCTTTGTGAGCAACAGTTCCAGCCATTTATTAGACTTTATAAAAAAACAAGACTTAATCAGTTGTTTTGGTACAGTCAGATTAAATCTGACTACCTTCACTCTGTGGTGGGTCCACTCAACCTGGACAGAGTCACACTCAGAGCTTACGTTGTGACAGTATTCAGGCCACAGGCCTTCAGCTTCAGCAGCCGGTCCTCCCAGTAGGCTCTGGGGACTCTGAAGTAATGGATCGAGCCCCCCAGGATCCGGAAGGGTTTCCCTTCTAAAGTGAACTGAGACGAGTCGGCCCTCAGACCCCCAGATCGGATCATCTGTGCAGCCTGAGGTCGGAGCCTGAGGGGGGAAAGTCAAAAGTTACTAAACTGTGACATCTAACACTTTATGTCTGAGCTTTATTTAAGTAACTTTTTACAGAATATCTTATCTCAAAGCAAAAAAAATGTGTTATCTTGTGTTTTGTTGTCAATTCTGTTAATCATTAAAACACATCACTGCCTTGATGCTGATCCAGGATCAGTTCGTGCATGCTTTAGTTTCAACAGATAAACAGTGAAACACATCTTGTCTGAGTGTTTCTATGACCCAGCAGAACCAAACCAGGTCAACTGGATCCCGATTCCCGACCTGATCAGCAGGAATTTCGCCTGACCAGGTGAAACTTAACTCACAAACAGGTGACGCAACCGAGACAGGTGAAATTTCACGGATAATTCAGCTAATCTTGTTGAAAATAAAAATTAATAAAAACAGAATGAGAGCAGCAACATAATCATGGACGTAGGTGAAAAGTGAGCAAAACCATAACAAGCTGGGCTTTTTCCACACGTTTGTTATTGTTTTAGATTAAAAAGCTTACCTTGTAAACTGATAGGCAATTATCACTACTGCAGCGACACAACAAATGAGCCAATATTTCTCTTTTGAGGACAGACGGACGCCCAGAACCGACGACTTCTCCATTGACTTGGTTGATAGGAGGACAACTTCTCTGACAGCTGCTCCCTCTGGACAAACTCCTCTGGACGCCTTAAGCCGCGCACTGCGCATGCGCAGGAGCCTGCTCCCCTCCGAGCTCAAAAACACGATTCTGACGCTGTCACGTTAAAATGGCGATGAACAGCAAAGTAACACAAATCAATTTGAGCTATCACACCATGCCCTCACTCTCATTTCCGAACTAATGTCTCACTGGATGAATTAAAGCTTGTAACGGACCTGGTTCCTTATCCCAAGCTAGCTAACATTTGAGCAACAGCGCGTGACAACAACAGCGGGTGTTTAGGGACCGTCACAAAATTACACAGAAGGGCAAAACAAACAAAAACAAAATGTAAATAAAAATACTACTTCCTTTATTAAAATTTAAACTGCTTACGCCTACATATATTTTATAATTACAAATTATAAAACTATTTAATGAATTAATAACAAAAAAGAAAAAAATCTGATTTGTGAGGAATGACACTTTTTGTGTGATCCCTATTGTCCAGTTTTCACTTTTTTTTTATAAAATAAAATAAAACTTTATTAAACAAAAGCAATCAGCAGGTGAAGGAGTAATAATTTACAAATGTTTACATATATCAAAACTTATGAACAAGCTAAATGTTAAACAACAGTCTCCACTGACTTTCAGTATAATACTAACTTAATGTTAGTTTAATTATAAATCATGAATTACATTGACTTGTACGTGGAATTAGCATGAGTCCCCGAGGCTCAATGGGATTAACCTGTATACTGTAAATAAAGGTTGAATGAATTGGGAGATCAGTTATTAATTTAAAATAATGTTTCTTACTACATTTGTATCAAACAATACGTGGAATATAAATTATTTGCCTATGTTTGGACAAAGTAAATGGCTAACTGCTGCCAGCTTTGTGTCTTTAAGATCCTACACTTTTTGTAGCTTTTAAATGTTCAGACAGGTGCTAGTGTAAAATATTAGTCGTTCAGGATACGATAAATCCAAATAAAGTTTAAAAAGCAAAACAACTGGACTGTTGTTACTCTTACACACTTTATTTTCTTTGGTTGAAAGGTTCAACTTATCACAACAAATCAAGCATTTGAGAAAAAGTTTAAATTTTGATATTTTCTTCTCATGACCCCTGTGAGGTACAGTGTACATTTGTATAAGGCTAATTTTCCAGTAAACACCGAAATGTAATTTGCAAATTTAAAGCATTGATACGGTAATCCACACAACTGTGGGCCCACAGCCAGGCTGTGATTCAGAATTAATTCAGAAGATGAGAACAAGCAGTACGCCAATGTCCTCCATCTCTGAGGAATTTGAACAGAATGTTTGTAGTTTTGGAAATGAGTGTTTTTCTGGTCTGGAATTGAGCAGAGAATGAAAGTAAACCTTAATGGTTTTGGTGCAAGATATTCAAATGGGTGAGAGTTACACTGCGGAAAGGAGCAGAGGGAGGATTTTACTGTTTCTTGTCCGAGGCAGCCAGGGCCGGAGTGGGACTCATTTTCAGCCCTGGAGTTTCATACCTCAGAGTGGCCCACTTCAAATCACGACCTATTATTATTAAAATCATGTAATTATAAACTTACATCAGGGGCGATTCTAGAATCTGCCCTTCAGGGGCGCTTTTAGCCCTTAGTGCTGACAATGGCTCTTGGCTTGAACAATGTGGTGACCATTGGCGTCAGAAGCTATTTATGGAAGCTATTTATTTATGTTTAACATTTAGTTTTTCCTACATAAGTAACAATTGATTCAATAACTATTATAGAGTTAATGGCACAACAAGAAGTAGCCTGACCAACAGCTCTCCTTGGTTGAATAGAGTACGCTCCACTTCTCTCATGCATCCTAGCAATTTGTTGGGTCAAGAGACACACAGTACGAATAACATTCAGGAATTGTTTCTGTAAGAACATTATCAAATATTTTACATGAACGGTAAGATCGCTTCGCCCACGAGGAAATGTAACACAGGGTGAGCTAACCTCAGACAAACTAACAAACAAGATAGCTGTAATGGTGGAGGAAGCGAAGCTCACGGTGTTACCTGATGCATTTAATGAGGCATTTCTGTCTTATCGACCAACATTAAGGCAAAAAATAATTCTAAGCTACTAATAACTTGAAGTAGTTACTGCAGTAGATGTTTTCATGCCACAGAGCAACACAGGGTAAGAGCTCACAGTGAAATTCAATATGTAAGAGTGTAAGTTTTACATACACGATCTATTAAACACTTTGTGCAAAGTCAGTTTAGTTTTAACAAAGACTAAACTTGTGCAGCCAGGTTACCACATATATCTACATATAAAACACACAAAACAAAGCACAACTAGCTTTAAGCACCTCTCTCAACCATCTGGAGAAGGTAAACACCTATGTGAGAATGCTCTTCGTTGACTACAGCTCAGCATTCAACACCATAATCCCCTCCAAGCTGGTTTCCAAGCTCACCACACTGGGCCTGGTGAAGTCCATCTGCTGCTGGATACTGGACTTCCTCACCAACAGACCACAGGCAGTGAAAATCAGCAGTCACCTCTCCTCCACACTAGTTCTCAGCATCGGTACACCTCAAGGCTGTGTCCTCAGTCCACTCTTGTACTCTTTATTTACACGAGTGTACCCCCAAGCATTTTTCTAACGTCATCCTCAAGTATGCTGATGACACCACCATCTTGGGCCTCATCACCAACAACAATGCGTGCCTACAGAGACAAGGTGAAATCACTGACCAGCTGGTGTCAGGAAAATTCCTTAGAGAACTTTACTAATTGACTTTTTTATGTATGTGAATGTTTCTGTAAAGTGCCCTAAGACAACTTTGTTGTGAATTGGTGCTACATAAATAAACTGAATTGAATTGAAAATAGCCTCTCTCTTAATGTCAGCAAAACAAAGGAGATGACAGTGGACTTCAGGAAACAGTGGAGGTCAGCACTCCACCATCTACATAAACAATGCTGAGGTAGTGCAGGTCAGCAGCTTCAAGTTCCTCAGCATTCACATTACTGAGTATCTGTCCTGGACTTTACATACAAACACTGTGGTCAAGAAAGCCTTACTTAAGACTCTACTTACTAAGAAGACTAAAGAAGTTTGGTACGAACACCAGCATCCTCACCAACTTTTATAGGTGCACCATGGAGAGCCTGCTAACAGGCTGCGTCACAGGGTGGTACATGAACTGCATCAGTCAGAGCCAGAAAGCTCTGTAGAGGATGATGCAAACAGCAGAGGACATCATTAGTAGAAGTCTCCACACCATCCAGGACATGTACCACAGCCGATCTCTGCATAAAGCACACAGCATCATTAAGGACCACACCCACCCAGCACAAGGACTCTTCCATCTACTACTCTCAGGTAGACGATACAGGAGTCTGCCATCACGTACAAAAAAGACTCAAAGACTAAAGAACAGTTATTATCCATAAACTGTCAGATTTCTAAACTCTCAATCAATAACACTGAACAACTGGCAATAACATTGCACCAAGCCACATCTGTGACAACTAATAAGACTAATATTAGCTTGTGATCCTAATATTTTTATTGCTAATGCATTATGTGGCTGTACCATGTATTTATCTATCTTACCATCATAATTCATGTCGTTACTCACTACCTGTACAATAATCTGTCACACAATCTGTTTAGTTTGTTAGTTATGTGCAGTATACTTCATGTGAATTTAAGCTTATATTACTACCTTGAAATACTTATTCATACAAATTCATCCTACTTGCACTGTTAAATTCTATCATGTTGTTTTTCTTTAGGACCTTGTAAATATTGTATTTACTTTTTCACTTTTTGGTACTTTATTTTGTACCCTTATTGAATGCTTTAGTATTTCTTGTTTGGTTTTTGTTTGTTTTAGTGAGTCAAATCAGTTCTTCTCATCCTGAATATTTTATTGTACTAAAAAAGTTAAATCTGGTCCTCTGTCCAGAGGACCAGATTTAACTTTTTTAGATTTTTCTACCTGGATTATTGAGCATGCATCAGGATATTTTATTGTACTGCTAACCTTTTGTTAACCTGTATATGACAAATAAACTTAACCTGAATTAACTCAATTCAATTCAAAAATACTTTATTAATCCCAAAGGGAAATTATTTGTTGTTGTAACTCGTTATCCTCATTTCATTAAGAGATGTTATAGATACTGATGCTGTAGGCAGGAAGGATCTCTTGTAAAGGTCCATCCCACAGCAGATCCGAAGAAACTGGTTGCAGATGCCGTCCGATCCGTCCAGACTCTGCTGGCCTCTCGGTTCCCCCGGGCTGTAGGACCACCCGAATGCCGGGCAGAACTCCTACCAGAGCGATAGCCACTCCTCCCAGCAGCCTGCCGAGCTCCTTGTCACTGCAGACAGTCAACTGTAGGTGCCGAGGGACGATCCCGTCCTTCCGCTATCACAAGCCGTGTTTCCTGCTAGTTCCAGGATCTCAGCGGTCAGGCACTCGAGCACAGTTGGCAGGTTGATGAGAATGCGTCCACAGGACATCCTTTTCAACTCAATTGAGATTTGGGGCTGTAGTTGAGATATTATTTGAGCTTTTGAGATGTTATTCAGCTGCTGTTGGTTGTAGAAAGCTGCCCTGTTGCCATGGTTACGCATCATAACAAATGTCCAAAACTAAAAAAAAGTTTCAGTAAAAATCCCTCCAGCTGCACAGCATCCGATACCAGAGGAAACAACCATCCAAAAAAGTGATTTACATCCAGCAAAAGAGGAATTAAAGTTTCCAAAAGCAAAGTCTCAGAATGAAATTAACAGAGCTGCTCCAACATGCAGCCACCTTGAGCGGCACAATTCTGGAATTTTTTTAAGCATTAACCTTTAATTTAACCATTAAGTATACAATGTAATTATGACAGAAAATGGAGGATTCACCTGCAGTTACTTTCGTAGAGATGAACATGTGGTAGCTACTTCCTGTTTATAACTTGTGATCAGCTGATGG